TAAAGCTAGAGGATGTAGAACACCGGGCCCTTCGGGCGTCGTGTTTCCATACAATTTCTCGTTTTCCCAATTCCACTCGTGTTGATATAACTGTATATCAACACGGAAAATGTTTTATATTTGTTAAATGTCACCTGCATGTCATTGTCATTGCCCTTTAACCCCTGGTCTAATTGGCCGCTTTTGAAAATATTGATCATGACAACATTATGTTTGGTAAAGCTAGAGGATGTAGAACACTGAAGATATAAAGTCATGTAGGTTTCAACATTATGTTTGGTAAAGCTAGAGGATGTAGAACACCGAAGATATAAAGTCATGTAGGTTTCAACATTATGTTTGGTAAAGCTAGAGGATGTAGAACACCGAAGATATAAAGTCATGTAGGTTTCAACATTATGTTTGGTAAAGCTAGAGGATGTAAAACACCGAAGATATAAAGTCATATATATTAACCAGCCTAGTCCCAGTCGTTCCGAAGCAAGCGCGAGAAAAAAAGTGGATGTAGTACGAGACTGGGACCTAGGTGTGACGTCACCGCTAAAGGTGCTTCAGAACGCCTAGCAGATTTCAGTATTTTTAATATGGCGGAAAAGTTATATATACAAATAACCTTGTAAATACGACAAATGTCCACAATGTTCGTTGATCATGTTCGATGTCTACATAACCAAATTCAAACTGTATTAAAAATGCGCTCAATTAAAAAAAATTATATACAAATTTACGATACTGAGTGTGTGCAATGGTCGTATAATCGTTGATGTTATTTATATACTCGCACGTTGTGATCAACACTAGATCGGCCATACTGGTATACACGTACAACTACGCTTTCTACTTGACAGGTTTAAGTAGCTGAGGAGATTGGAAATATTTGCCGACTTGACTGTGTTGTCAAAACATTTTTATTCGAAGACTCGGCATAATTTTCAAGCTTCTAGATAGCATTTAATATGGCTTTATATTTTAGTAAACACGAGTATATTTAGCCTGTTATTCCATTCTGTCCGTATGGTAGCGAAACGTAGCCTATTTCATTGTTCCGACAGCATTAGAGCGAAACTAAATGACTTGATTATAAACGCAAAGGAAATTTCCATAACATTTTCTATTTACAAATGCGGTATGCTTGGTAACCAGGCCAGGGACCACTTTTTTGAAATCAGGGACCATTTTACCGAAATCTGCTAGGCTCTCTCGCTGAAGCGTTCCGCACAGCACACCCAGGCATAAAACTTTTAAGACTTATTTAAATATATCAAAGCAGCGAATAGAAAGAGAGCCTGGGACT